CCCTTTCTTCTCTTTCTTCTCTCCTTCCTTCCTTCCTTCCTCCTCTCCTTTCCCTTCTCTCCTTCCCCTTCCAATTGAGGATTTCCATGTATCGTGGAAGGTGCTGATCTTGTTCCTCCTCTTCTGGCATTGCAGAAGATACTAAAAAGAGATGTTTAGCCTGGGCTGAGTATTCCAAGCAGCCCTTTAGTTTTCTTTTATTCTTTGACTTCATCTGTTTCTTATTTCTTTATGCACTGTCCAGAATCCAAACGATTGCAATGGTTTATAACACTGTCAAAGAAACTAATTAATTAAGCCACCTGAAGTAATGTGTTTTAAAAATTACCAAATAATTCAAAATACTGAAAAGTTGTGTGCTCATTTTTCCCCCCGCTTTTAATTTATTTCTACTAATTCTAGATCAGTGTGTGGATGAGATGGAGCGGGCTTATGAATTAACAGTGGAAAATGTTACATAAATCAGGCATTCAGAGATCTGTTACTTTGCTGGTGTTGAAACAAAATGCAAAATGGAAGGATGCATTGAAAAACTGGAATAACGGGAATAATGAGGCAGGAAAAGTGGGAACTTTTGCCTTTCACTTCAGGCAGCAAAATATCCTGCTTCGGCTGGATGGGAACATTCAGTAGTCATTTAGTGCTCAGGGAAATTCACTTTACAGATGTTTGAAATACATCCAGGTCACTTTATCTTCTAGGGTTGAGCTTTGATGTTTGAAGCATGTGCCAGCACTGCTAAGCCTTGCTACAAATAGTATTCATTATATATTTGATTGCCTGTTATTCTCCATCAATTTCCAACAAAATGGACGATATGAATATTTCAGTCTTGCCTTATATAAATCATATTTTGGAAATTCTGTTTGAGGACAGCACCTTTCATCTTTAGGGCTTGCTTTTTCTTCAAAAATATTCAAAAGGTGGGCATAGTTTGGCTTCTGTAAGAAATGGATCAGCAACATAAAGGTACAGAATCTATTGTACTAACATCAGAATATGGAAAGCTTTTGACTTGTTTCCATGCTTCAAAATTCTTCTAAAAATTTGTAACATTCTACTTGAGATCCAAAGCGAAGATGATCCCTGACAATTTGTATCAGCTGCTATCAAAATATATCTTGAATCATTTTAGCAGCACCCTCCTCAAAACTTTCAAAATAATACAAGACCCAGATTGGTGTAGTGCTAGGATAGAAACCAGGAGACTGTGAGTTCTAGTCCCATCTTCAACATATTTTTATGTTTGTCCTTTAAACTCTTTATTAGAGCCGTGGCGGCGCAGTGGTTAGGATGCAGTATTGCTGCCGACTGCCAGCAGTTCAATTCTCTCCGGCTCAAGGTTGACTCAGCCTTCCGAGGTTGGTAAAATTAGGACCCAAATTGTTGGGGGCAATATGCTGACTCTGTAAACTGCTTGGAGAGGGCGGTTAAGCACTGTGAAGTGATATATAAGTCTAAGTGCTATTGCTATCATCTCAGTGGTGGGTTCAGATCAGTTTGGCTGATTGTGGTTTGGCGGCCTGGATCGCTGGAATCGGCAGTGNTCGAATCGTGTGGCTTTGGTTGTTTTAAATGCCCTGTACTTTTTGTAGTTTTTGTGTTTTTCCCTTCCACCTCCTTGGGTTTGTGCGCTGCCCTGAGTCCCGCTGGGAATAGGGCGGCATATAAATAAAATGAACCTCGAACCTCGATATCAGCATGGTTTAGCCGTGAGTGACTTGATTACTACTTCTGATAAAACTAAGTCATCGAGTATCCATGGATCTCAAATTGTATGTTCCCAATGAACCTCTGAGCCTTTCCCTCCCCTCCTTCCCCACCTTGTCCTTGTGCACAGCAGCCCACCAGAGCTCAATAAAAGACCTGGGTTTTTTGCTGCCCGCTTGAGACCCGGCTGCATTTAGCTTGCCTGTTGCAAGTAGCGAAATGATCTTGTCTCTGCAGCCTTTTGCAACAGAGGCCTCTTGGTGCTTTAATTTGCTAGATCTGCCCATTCTACCTGCTTAGGGTTTAGCCTTGGCAGCAACCATTTCCTGGGAGGAATGTCCCATGGTTTTTTTGTGCCCAAATATATCTTGAAGGTTGAGCTCCTTTTCCCAGGCTGGAATACCCTTGTGCCGAATATAGCGGGCTTTCCTAACTTCACCATAAGACTTAAGGAAATCAGGCCTGTTGTACATAGTTCTGAGACGTCCATCAGCAGCATAGGCCTCAGGATCCATGATCAGCCTCTCACGATCAAGAGAAGATCTTCGATTCCCAGGGCGATTCACGGGTTTGGTGATGGTCGTGGTGCCTTTGGCTGGAGGATCCCTTGGCTCTTCTTTCACTGAGTCTTTTCCTTGTTCTTCTATGATATCAGTCTGGTCCCCAGGCTCTGCTGAAATATTTAACTGCTTAGCCATGGAGTCTTTAAGGCTGCTCATATCTCTGTCATCAGCAACACTTGCGTCTTTGGCCTCCAAGGGTGGCAAATGTCCCTTTCTCTTTCCTTCACAACCGGAGACATCTCCACTGAGCTTCCATGGATGGATGGGAGGACGCTTTGTCCATGCAACATCGCCAGTCTTAGGCAATGTTTTTCTTTGAGATCTAGAAAAGGAGGAGAGAAATGCTATTCTTCTTTCATTAGGATTCTTTTCACAAGTAATCAATGGATTGTAGTCTCTAATGTAAGCATGGAAAACACATATCTAATCCATCCTACTGGAGATCGTTATCTTGCCTTGCAGTATCTCCCTTCAGGAGAGAACAGAGAATTAATAGGAAACAAATCCTTTTCTCACCTGCATGTCTTTAAAATACTTCCTGTTAATATCACTGGTGAAAAAGGAATGCTTCTCACTTCCAACTTTCTTCTCCTCACTGGTAGTCCTTGGCTTACAACCACTATTTATTTATTTGCAAAATCTATTCCTCATCCATCTTACCGTAGGGTAATTCTGGGTGGTTCCACCACAAAACCGCGTTCGACTAAAGGGCGCTCGACGAAACCGCGTAGCTGACATCATAGCGCGACAACAGCGCGGAGAAAAAAGCACGCTGTAAACGCTAAACCTAAAATTAACACCTAAACCTAAACCTAACCCCACTAACCTAACTAACCTAACCCTAACCCTAACCCTAACCCTAACCCCTAACCCTAACCCTAACACTAACACTAACCCTAACACTAAACCTAACACTAAACCTAATCCTAAACCTAACCCTAAACCTAACCCTTAACCTAAGCCTAAACCTAACCCTAAACCTAA